GAGTCCCCTGGACTGCAAGGCATTCAAACCGGTCAGTCTTAGAAGAGATCAACTCTGACTGCTCTTTAGAAGTCCAGATCCTGAAGTTGAAACTCAAATACTTTGGCCACCTAATGAGAAGGAAGTACTCACTGGAGAAGAGCCTAATGCTGGGAAAGATTGAGGGCAATAGAAGAACGGGATGACAGAGAATGAGGTGGTTGGATGGAGTCACTGAAGCAGTAGGAGTGAGCTTAAATGGACTCCAGAAGATGGTAGAGGACAGGAAGACTTGGAGGAACATTGTCCAAGGGGTTGCGATGGGTCATACACGACTTCGCAACTAACAACAACAAATCTAGTGTGCATAGCAGCTAAGTTTAACTGCTCTATTGTAACACTGTCAGTTGACACACTTGGGACTTTAAGAGTCTGATATAGACTCTCTTAAAAATGGTTGGCATTTTGAGCAGAATCACTCAGATAATCAAATTGACGAGGATGATGTTCCATCTTTCTGACTTACTGGAATGTTATGTGGGAATGACCTTGGAAGTCAGGACAAATAGATGCAGTCAAGAAAACAATCAAATAAAAGGCAGTTGAACCCACAACAGGAATATGGGAAGGGCAAGGAGCTCAGAAAACACCCTCTTCAGTTTTTGGGGCTGTTAAGTAAGTGGGGAAGAGAGATGTACTTTTGAACTTGCAAAATTCTGTTAATGTGATTTTTACAATGAAACAGAATTAGCTCATTTAGTTTCCTTTCTAGTATACCTCATAAGGCTGACAATTGCTTATCTTTGCCTTTTTTTCCCCCCATCACGCAAAAACACATCACCTATCTGCAGGATTCAGCCAAGCTCCAACCTTTACCTTCTAGATCTGTCTTTTATTTCTAAATAAATTTTATTTTCATGAGACATCTGGGAAATAAAACTGAAGCACTATGACACATCAACTTGTCATGTATTTTTTTTTTTTTTAGCCAAATAGAAAGAATAACAAAATGGACATTTCATAAGGATGGGGAACTAAAACTTAACTTTCAAAGTTTAATATGATTGTTTTAATCAGAATAAATCTGGAAGGAACCTTGGAGGTCTTCCTGCTCAAACAGGAGACCCTATACCATTTCAGATAGGTGGCTGTCCACTCTTTTTTAAAAAACCTCCAGTGATGAAACACCCAAAACTTCTGACGGCAAGCTGTTCCACTGGTTAATTGTCCTCACTGTTAAGAAGTTTCTTCTTAATTCCAGGTTGCTTCTTTCCTTGAATAGTTTCCATCCTTTGTTTCTTTTCTTGATTTCTAGTCCTGTGGAAAATAATTTGACCCCCCTCTTTTTTGTGGCAGCCCTTCAAATACTGGAATACTGCTATTATGTCACCCCTAGTCCTTTTTTTTCTGGACCAGTATTCCATTTATGTACAGTATTTTACTACATTTTGGAAAGTGTGATTTTTTTTAATTGGGTTCTTTTGATATTTTCTTACATTTCAATATATCACCTGCTGTTTAATGAAATATGCAAAAGGGGGAGCCATGGTGGAAGACTTAAAGAAAATTAAGATGGCTATCAAGATCATGCACTTGGTGCATTGTTTCTTTTTTTTTTTTTTTGGTGCATTGTGCAGCTTTGACGACATCCTTGGAGCTGCCATCTTGACTTTTCAACCCCACCACGGAAGACACTTCCATTGGCACAAGAATATTGTTAATATATGAATACATTTTAAACTATCATGACAGAGTTATTTGCAGGCTCAGGAATAGGAATATGAATTATATGGGAAGGGAGATATGGGGATATGAATTATATGGGAAGGGAGATTCCTAATTGGCTCCCAGTGAGCCATTTGTCTTTATGGTCCACAAGAGAAGCACTGAAGACTTACAACAGGTTTTCCCATCCTCTTGCCTTCCAGTTGTGTTAGGGCTACAACCCTGACTATTCTTTGGAAGGACAGATATTGAAGCTGAAGTTCAAATCCTTTGGCCACCTAAAGAGAAGAGAGGATTCATTGGAAAAGGCCTGATGTTGGGAAAGATGGAAGGCAAAAGGAGAAGGGAACGGCTGAGGATGAGATGGTTAGACCGTGTCATCAAACACAGTGGGCATAGATTTGGGCAAACTACAGGAGACGGGGGGGGGGGCTGCTGTGCTGTGGTCCACGGAGTTGCGAAGAGTCAGATACGGCTTAGAGACTGAACAACAGTTAAAAACGATAACCATTTTCATGGGCTTATGAAACACAAGTTCTTTGAAATGAATTTTAAAAAGGATCTTGAATAAATATCCCACAATTCTAAATGTCTGGGGAAACCTAGTAAAGAACCCACAAGGAACCAAGAACTTTGGGGGGTGGAATCCGTGTAGATCAGTGGTTCTCAACCTTTTTAATGCCGTGACCCCCAACCGGTCGTAAGTCGAGGACTACTCAACCGGTCGTAAGTCGAGGACTACTCAACTGGTGCAGCACCGTTTGCAGAATGGGACTTTTGGCGGGCTCAGCAGGGCAGAGACAGCCTGGACAATTCCTATTGGCTTTTGAAAGCCAATAGAATTAGACTCTATTCAAGAGAGTCTATTCTATTGGCTTTCAAAAGCCAATAGAATAAAAGGGAGTAGCACAGCTAAGGAAAAGGGGAAAAAATGGCGGACTGCGTTGTTTGGCGACCCCCTTGAAATGGTCGTTCGACCCCAAATGGGGTCCCGACCCAGAGGTTGAGAACCACTGGTATAGATGCAGTCTGACTCATTTACTTTACTTTTGCCAGCTAACAAAATCCATAACCAGGGAAACTTGGATGCTGTCAATTTGATAATGGCATGTGACGACATAGGTAGCAGATATTCTTCTTGTTGTAATTTTCATCTTGTAGAATCTAAGGATGTGGATGCCTTGAGTGGAAAAAGGAACTGTACCCTTCTCAATCCTTACAAAACCTAGTTGCTAGGAAAAAGACACTCCTGGAAAAAGAAATTAAAAAGTAATCTTTATTAACCATATAGATCCTGATGCTGGCTATGGCATTAGTTTGGATTTGCTTCCATCCATTAATAATAATTAATTCAAGCGGAAAAGTCAACAAAAGTGATTAAGAATGAGTCTTTGGATCGCTCTTCAAGAACCAATTGCTGCCTTCTGTAAGGATCATCTTATAAAATTAAAGACTTTTGGTAAATACTTTCTCAGGACATTAACTCCTTTCCGGATGCAATTTTTTAATTAAGATAAATTTAACTTGAGATATGTGACCTGTCTCTGGACAGGTAGTCCTCGATTTATGACCACAACTGAGCCCATCTCTACAACCTGAAATTAATTACATCTGTAGATAGATAGATCCAGTCACTGCTTAAGTTTTTGGGTTGTAGATTTAGGCAGAGTTGGACTTCTTAATGGATCTTGCCACAGCTGTTAAGTGAATCACTACGGTTGTTAAGTGAGTGACACTGTTGTTAAGTAAATCCAGCTTCCCTCTTGACTTCCCTTGTCAGAAAGTCACAAAAGGGGACCACGTGACCCCCCCCCAAGCACTGCGAATGTCATAAATACAAACTGGTTGCCAAGTGTCCGAATTTTGATCACGTGACCATGGGGATGCTGCAACGGTGTTAAGTGTGAAGAAAGGTCCTAAGTCAGTTTCTTTCAGTGCTGCTGTATCTTTGAACGGTCACTAAATGAACTGTTGTAAGTCAAGGACTACCTGTGCAGTAGCTGTGAAACTGGCAAATTCCCCTTTCAAGATGGTTCCTAAAGACATCAGATACCTAAGAAAAGGAAGTTGTCGCATAATACTCAGTGGTAGCACCTAGATAGCCTTGGCTGATCTCAGAAGGCTAAACAAGACAGGATTTCAGAAGAATCTGCTTATCGACTAGGCTGGGAATTTGAAGAGCATCCTATAGAAATTGGCAGTGACAAATATCTTACCAGAAAAACTATCTGGAAATGTTCAATGCAGAAAATGCAACTATGGAATTGGCTCCCAAAATTTGGGATGATGACCCTCAACTTCAATGGCTTTAAAATGGGTTTAGGTAGAGTCATGGAGAAGAAGACCCTGGGTAGTCCTCGACTTACAACAGTTCATTTAGTGACCATTCAAAGTTACGACACTGAAAAAAAGTGACTTATGATCATTTTTCACACTTAACGCCCTTTGTAGCAGCAGTTCATGTGATCAAAATTCAGATGCTTGGCCACTAGTTCATACCTATGACCGTTGCTGTGTCCCAAGGTCATGTGATCAAAATTCAAATGCTTGGCCACTGGTTCATACTTATGACCGTTGCTGTGTCCCAAGGTCATGTGATCACCTTTTGCAATCTTTTGACCCCAAAATCCATGGGAAGCCACATTCACTTTCTTTCGCCTGTCATCTCTGCCCAACCAGCAAGATCTGGAAGAGTTGGCACACTCCAGATACCAGCCATAAAGCCTGGCTATGTTGGGACCCCTGAACCTGTTGGATTTTCATAAAACTGTGAAAATCTGGTTCTCATAGGAGGCACTGAGATAGGTGTAGTGTAGATTTACTCTTGATAGTTTCTTCTTGATGATCATATTCATTCTGAATTAGTTATCTAGTTGTTATTATTTGGAATGGCATGGTGGCCTAGTGGTGAAGACACTCGCCTCCCACTCGGAAGGTTGAGAGTTCAATCCTAGATAGCAGCAGATGTTTCTCTCCTAGGGTGCAAAGAAAAAAAAAATCTGCTGCAAACTCTGTGTGGCATCAGGAAGGGCATCCGGTCAGTAAATGCTCAGCTGCATTGTCTTGACTCTACCCCAAATTAAGGGATTGCAAAGTCATGAGTTTTTTTAATCTATTAGTTATGATTTATAGGTAACAACCAACACTTTGAATTACACCCAGAATAATACTGGTAACTAATGCCATTTACAGGAAATTACATAGGCAAAATGAACAATACTCATAACTACTAATGCAGTCACATTGTGGATGAGTGATCTTCCACGTTGGTCTTAGCTCTCCCCATTTTTAAAATTGATTCCTGTGTACCACTTACCTTGCTCTGAAACAGGTTGCAAACCCCAGCCATTGGGGATATAATGCAACCCCCACAATCAGTACAGCAGGTAAACAACTCAATCTTCTTTAGCTTAGTACATTGGAATAAAACTCTCCGCATTATTGCCTATCTAGCTAGTGATTAAATGTAAATTCATGTGTACATTCATAATAATAAAGGAAAAAGCATGTCCATGGCAGAAATATTCCTTAATTAAATGCAGCCTCCACATTGTTACTTCCAGTGGATTAACTGATTAATAAACAACTGTTCCTTATCAGTGCTGTGATTAAGCACTGTGTGACCTTTATTTAAAAAATGATGAATAGGAAGGGGAATTCCTGTTGTAATTAATCTGTTGCTGTAAAAGAAGTGTTATGAGCTTTAAGAGAACCAGGTTCTCTAAAGTGTCAAGCAAAAAAAAAAAAAGTCCTTCCAGGAACAAAAACATTAGTTTTGTTCTAATGTTTAATGTTTATTAGCTGCAACAGTAATTTGATCAGAATAAGAATATGTGGAGTTGGTCTTTCATACCTGGTCTGCAAAATGTAGATGTCCATTAGATGCCAGGAAAGTATCCGTATCTCTTTTGCTATCACTTAAGAGTCATCCAGTTTTCTGTAGACCAAACAGGATAGGTTTAATTAAGAGTTATCGTTCAAGGTAATTACTTTCCTATTTTTATATTAATTGTTTTATTTAGTATCCTAGTATGATTTATGTTGATTGCTTATTTAGCATCCTATGACCCTCACTGAGTGTTGTATCTTATGATTTATATAAATGTTTTGTATGATTATAATCATGATTTATCACTTGTTACTTGTATGTACACTTAGATCTTATGCATCAGAGACAAATTCCTGGTGTGTTCAATCACACTTTGTCAATAAAGAATTCTATTCTATTCTATTCTATTCTATTCTTTGTTTTCCAACAGTCCTTAGAGCAGGGGTAGGCAACCTTGGCTCTTTTATGACTCGTGGACTTCAACTCTCAGAATTCCTGAGCCAGCATGGCTTAGCTTGGAAACCTTTCCCTTTCCTCTCAGCTTGGCTGTCTCAGGAATTCTGGGAGTTGAAGTCCACGAGTCATAAAAGAGCCAAGGTTGCCTACCCCTGCCTTAGAGTAATGCAGTAGGGAAACAACTACAGGTAGTTCTTGACTTACAACCATTTCTTTAGTAATCATTCGAAGTTATGACAGCACTGAAAAAATTGATCTATGATCATTGCAACATCCCTGTGGTCACATCACCAAAATTCTGATGCTTAGTAATTGGCTCATCTTTAAGATGGTTGCAGTGTCCCAGGGTCATGTCATCAATTTTTGTGCCCTTCTGACAAGCAAAATCAATGAGGAAGCCAGATTGACTTAACAACCATGTCACTAATTTACACAACTGTGGCAAGAAAGATCATAAAATGGGGCAAAACTCACTTAACAACTGTCTCAGTTAACAACAGGAATTTTGGACTGAATTGTGATCATAAGTCGAGGACTACTTATATTAGGATGCCAAAGCCCTCCATGAATATCCAGAGTATTCTGTGTCTGATGTATTCTGTGTCTGAGAGCAATCAACCAACGGAATAGTTGGACTCAAATTAACTTGAGGCTCCAAAAATAATTGAATCAGGCATATGATATAAATACCATCCATTCATTCTAAATCTAAGGCAAATGTAGACAATCTGTTCTTTGACTTTTGTTCCAGTACCTCCTACACTGAACTAGCTAATCTTCCACCATCCATCCTGAACTTAAGATAACAATGCTGTTAGCCTTTAAAGTTTGTGAAATGAAATTCAGATGAAGGATATTAGGAAACAGCCTATGTTTCGAGGGCCAGTGCAGTGTTGGGGTCAACATGCAGGGCTACAATTGGAACTCATTCCCATTTAACCCTAGCAGTTTGCTGGATGACCTTGAGTCAGCCTAACCTATCTCATTATTGATGTGAAATTAAGTAAAGCTTCTACATACATCACCTTACCCAGGGGGAAAAGTTGTAAGAAGCCATCATCATTGTCATCATCATGATATTCATCCAAATGATAGAATTCTTTGTAGTCTCAGATGGAGAATTGTATATATAATCTGCTATGTGATCCTTTTTAAAGGACCTGCCAGGATCCAAGAGGCTTTGTTTGAAGTCTGCTGAGCTATAACTGGCACACAAAATTTCCATCAAAGTGTTGCTTGATACCTGCAAAACACTAAATAAAAAATGTCTGAGCACATTTGAGCCTAGTCCATTGTACCCCTCCAGCCAGTGCTGTCAGTTTACAGTTTACAGTTGTGTCGTGCAAACTCAGAAAATAGTCCTTATGATTCTATAAACTCTATCATTCTACAAACTCAATAAGCCACGATGAAGCCATGTAAATAATTCAATATACAGGTAGTCCTTGACTTACACCCATTCATTTAATGACTGTTCAGATTTACAATGGCACTGGGAAAAAAATGAGTTATGACTGGTTTTCATACTTATGATGGTTTCAGTATCCCCATGGTCATGTGATCAAAAGTCAGATGCTTGGCAACTGGCCTGTGTTTATGACAGTGGTGGTTGGGTGGGAGGGAGCTGAATTAGAAGTTATTTGTTATATACAACCTAACTTATTTGACTTATTCAATAAATCATGGTTAAGTCACGTAAGCAATGATCCCATCTTACTGTGCTCAGGTTGCTAATCCTGTCAACTCAGACAGCTACCTGCAGTTGATTGGATCTAGATGCCTTTCTGTATCTGGAAATAAGCATCACAGATGGCAAGGCTGCCCCTGAGAAGCAATATGTGGGTTGCCTGCCTTCTTGGTTTGTACTCTCCTGGGAATAAATGCCTGTGGGGACAAGCTAGCAAGGGAGGAATTAAGCTTCCCCTGGATAGTCTACAAGCCACCTGCTCCATGCTGGCTAACAGCAATAATGTTAGACAAAGAGGCTGATTGTGAGGATTCTACTAGCTGCCATCCAAAATTTTGAGCTCTGAAAAGTCCAAGATCCATTTAGAACCATATAAAGCACAGAGCTTAAAATCTGACGACTTATTCACGATTGGACTGTAATACTAAAAGCTATCTGCGTATTTAGACAGCTACGATATTTCTGCAGCGCGAGACCCTTGCTATATCCTTGTGAGTTCTGAATTAATCTTAAGAGCTTTTCTTGCAAGTAGCACTAATGTGATTCTCTGCTATAATGTGCAATCAGCAAACATGCAAAAAAAAAAAAAAAAAGCACCTGCCCAGAGAGCTGATGTGAGAAAATCCACCCATAGATCTTGCTTTCTGGGTTGAAATCCTGTTTCATGCTGCTCAGATATCTGCATAAGAGGCTAAATTCTTGAAACTTCTACAACATATGCTTCTATTGAGTTTTGCTTGGTGGTTTTAAACTTACTTTATCATTGAGACTCTTGGAGAACTCTGCTGGAGCTATACATTTTCTCATTACTCATAAGTTGAGTAATCACCTATCACTCCCTGGCTGCTCTTTTTTCGTGTGGTCATCACACAAATGATGCAAATTAAATAACCCGCATGATGTCACTTTTCCTGTGCTTGGACTGCCATGCACATACCCATTGGCCATCTATAATGAAATTAGTTCAAGAAGACCACATTTATTATACTTGAGAATTTCTCCATCATCAGAGCTTAAAAATAGTAATCCTAATTGTTTAATTCCTAGGAAACGCGCATTGGCTGTTTTCTTGATGTTCTTTAAGGTTGCCATTCTGTTGTTCACTTCCCTTAAAGAACATGAAGAAAACAGTCAATGCGCGTTTCCTAGGAATTAAACAATTAGGATTACTGGATGGACCGATGACTAGGTTCAGGAGCCGTGCGCAAAACCGGCCAGTATTATAAAAAGAGACTCCCATCGACCTATTTTTAAGCTCTGATGATGTCGGTAGTGCTGACCGACGAAAGCTCAGCATGTTATTAAACGTTTTTAGTTTAATTTTATCCTGGTGTTCGCATTTATTTGTTTTTACTGTATGGCTTTACCCAGGATTTGAATTTTTAATGAAATTATATATAATAGCTATTCCATTCTCCCTTAATTCTTTGTTAGCAATCCAAATTTTATTTTATATATATAGTTGCTATGGTGACAGCATAAATATAATCAGTTTCAAGCCAGGCTCTCAGGTGTCACTGTCAGTTTTATTTCATACCTTCTTCTTGGGTGTATCCAAAGTTCGCAGAAAGTGCATCTCTTCAAACTAAGTTGGTCTGGAACTTGACATGCCCTGCAAGTAGTTTTAGGAAAAGTGATTTACATGATTATATGAACTGAAATCCTGTTCTCTTTTACATAATAGGTGTCCCACAGTTATCTTTTAAAGAATTCATGTGTTTCCATAGTTCTTCCACTGCCTTTTCTTATAAATGAGAAATATTTCCTATGTGTTTTTTCTTCTTCTCATTTTCCCTGGCCTGGATTCCAAATCCTGGTATCAAAGTTGAGTGAGACATCTTAGTATCCTTATCTTCTTCTAGTCCTACAACCTTAGCTACCATTCCTGGCAGTTTTCCAGGTGTTGATTGGCTTCTATTAATTTAAGAAGAAAGCTGTTGTTGTTGTTTTTATAGATAACCTAAAGTCTACCTTGGCAATCTTCATTGAACTGCTGCCAGCCTCTCAGCTAATTTGGTTAAGAAGAATCAAAAAGCATTAGTTGATTGTCTATAGCCTGACGGGGCATAATTACTGCCTTCTCTTCATTAAGTTGCGCATGTTCAGTCTCTATTTTGATTTGGCATTCTGACTTTGTAGCACAAAGCAGTTCTGGTATGGAAAACCCTGTCAAAGTATGTGTCAAACAGTCCCACGAAGATCTTAGCTTTTTTCCTATGAAAACTTCACACAGTTGCTGCTCTTTGATATCAAGAGACTTTCCCCAAATCTCCCTCAGGCACTGAAATCATGCAAAACTGATTCCTGTCTTCTCCCAAGATTTCATCCTAAAGTTTCTCATCCAGCCTATTTCGAAAGCCAGCAATCCCTACAATAACACGAATGTAAGAATACCATTACCTAATAAAAATTATTAGCTTAAATATAAGATAGTAGATATGGAGAGAAAAAAGAGGAAGTATTAAATGTTGAAACAAGAGAAATTTTGGTTATTAAATTTAAGATATTTGGAAATTACCAGAAAATAAGAATATTCTATTGTATTATTAACCCACTGATGTAAGATCCAGGGATGAATTGTGGCAAAGGGAATTGGGGTTATTTAAAATTGGGAAATTTATTAAACGTTAAATTTCAATTTTTGTGGAAAACTAAAAATTGGGAAAAACTTATCAGGACATTGAGTGTCTAAAAAGATTGAATGTCAAAATGACTAAGATATGTATAAACTAAAAATTATTGATAAATGGAAGAAAGCTATTTGTATTGAATTGATATAATAAGAATTGTATTAATTCAAATGTGAGACAATAAATACCAAGGGAAAAAGAGAGAAAATATTTAATATAATAGTTTGTGATTTGTACTAAAGAAATTTGTATGTTATTTAATTATGAACCAACCCAGCCACCATGCTGCTTTTCAAATATGTAAATGTAAAACTGGAAAATCAATAAATTAAAAAAAAAATACCGTTACACTTTTAATTATATTTTTTTATAACTTTGTGTATTCCTCTTACATTCATTCACAGCTGCATGCATTGCCTGTGCTCTTGAAACTTCTCATGGCCTTTTTGTGGAAGAGCTTATCAGATTTGTCCATCTACCATTTTTTAGATCTTCCTCTTAACTTATTCTCCCTTCTTTTGATCTTCTACCTGTTTTGTCATTCTTTTCTTGTTCACTCCCTCTGTACAACTGAAGGCACTCCATTTTTAAAATAAAAAACAAAAAAATAGCCTATTACAAAGTTGAAGAGCACACCGAACAGCAATGCTAAACTGGCCCGTATTTTCAACAATATCTCAATGCCTTACATCAGGGGTCTTCAACCTTGGCCCTTTTATGACTTGTGGACTTCAACTCCCAGAATTCCTCAGCCATCTGAGGAATTAGGAATTAATCATAAAAGAGCCAAGGATGACTACCCCTGCCCTAAACTTTAATCTATTGTCAATAGAAATTTCTTGCATTAAATATTACTATGACAAGTAATCCTCATATAAGATGGTTTACCACTAATCATAAATATTCACCAAAAACAAACTAAATTGGTTAGATTTCCCTGACTTATGTAAACAGAAATACTTTGTTCTGGACAACTAAAAGTTATCCAGAAAACAATTCACACTGTTACAGGACATTAAGTGATACCATAAATTCAACCTAGAAGTAACTATCAAGCCAAAGCAACACTGTATTCAAGGAAGCAAAATTTTATTTTTACCCTCTGGTCAGTGATTTAGCCTGACAGTAAAAAAATAAAATATTACTCTGTCAGGCAACTCTGTTGTAACTTGAACATCATAAAAGCTAGTCATAAAAAAATCACTCAGAGCTATCTTAACCATTGACTATAAGCACCGCTTTAAGGAAACCTATGATAGCCCTCAAACTATAATCTTTCAAAGAAAGAGAATGGCAAATATTACTCTCTGTTGTTCCATATTCAATGTGATTTGGAGGAAGAGGAGGAGGAGGAGAAGGGAGGAGAAGGAGGAGGAGGAGAAGAAGAGGAAGAAGGAGGAGGAAGAGGAAGAGAAGGAGGAGAAGGAGAAGGAGAAGGAGAAGAAGAAGAGGAGAAGAAGAAGAAGAAGAAGAAGAAGAAGAAGAAGAAGAAGAAGAAGAAGAAGAAGAAGAAGAAGAAGAAGAAGAAGAAGAAGAAGAAGAAGAAGAAGAAGAAGAAGAAGAAGAAGAAGAAGAAGAAGAAGTTTACTACTACTGCTACTGGCAGGCAGCCATTAAAAGAGTCCCAAAGAAGAATCCTCAATCCAGTTGAAGAAGCTGCTGAGAACTCTTTCTGATTCTTCATATAGTTACATCTACTGCCAATTTATTTATTTATTTATTTATGAGACTTATATACCACTTTAAGTACAAGTACTCTCTAAGCAGTGTACACCAGTAAGCAATGTATATATATATTTACATTGCCCCCAACAATCTGGGTCCTCATTTTACCTACCTCGGAAGGATGGAAGGCTGATTCAACCTTGAGCAGGTGAGATTTGAACCGCTGACCTGCTGAACATAGTCAGCTAAAGTGGCCTGCAGTACTGCAGTACTGCACTCTAACTGCTGCGCCACCTCGGCTCAATCTGGATTTCTTACTCTTGAACTGATTTTCTCACAAGGGCCTCCCCTATCAGCAAGTAAAACATTCTCAGAATTATCTTTGCAAAGACTGCTGAAAACATTATAGGGAAGGAAATTTGGTGGGAGTGAAAAAAATATCAAAAAACAATTGAGAAGACACCCTAGGGATATTAAGGCACTTTTATTTTTATTTTTTTACTTAGCCCACTTGTGTACAGCTTCCAAGGGATATTGGCTTCCCGTTTCCAGTCATTATAGTCCTTGTAAAACTGTGCATAAATGCCCATGAACTTTTCAACTAAATGGAGGTGGGAGAATCCTGGGTTGTTGAGTGTTTCTCTTCCGTAACTAATAACAACTTTGGGCAACTTTAAATCTACAAATAGGGACACGGGGACAAACATGCTGATTTTAAAGGGCCTTCTGGGTGCTTCATTTGAAAGGAAAGGAAAATGTTGTTTGGCCCAAAGTAGTCTGTTGACTAAGAAGTCATGATAAAAGCCCCTTAGCAAATAAAATAGGTAGTTCTGATTTATTTCTCCTCCTTCATTAAACAGCTGTCAGTTTAAGGTGAATCAAATTACATATGTTTTGACATCAACAAGTACTTCAAAGGATTACGGAATTGTGCTTTCAGAAACACTTAGATCTCTGATTGAGTTGGAGCTGTGTACACACACAATTAGGAAATTTATTTCCTTATTGTTAATGGTATTGCTGCTCTCTGGAGAATGCTAATCATCCTGAGTTCATTTTTCAGGACATATAGCTCTTGATATTGACAGTATATGTTCCTTTGCCATGAAAGTAGTCTTTTTATGTTTGGATCAAAGAGTTTTGAAACACTAGTTTCATTTTATACATATTCATAATTTCTGCAAGATATTTCAAAACTAATGGAAAGACTTCTATGAAGTCCAGGTTACAGCACTTAGTTTACCAAGAGTTTTCTTTTATATTCTCATATCTGATTTTTTTTTTTGCCTCATCCTCTTATCCCCTTTACTTTTATTATTATTGTAGTTTTTAATGTGTAATACCAGTGTTATTTTTTGAGCTCAGGATGTTCTAGAATCCTACTTTATTGCTTTGATGTATTTTTCTTCATCACTTAAATTGTGAATAGAGAAAGTAGAAAATACAGTTGTGATTTCTTTCAGCTGAAACTGGGCTGGGAATTTAGAATAAAATAGAATGAAATAGAGCTGGAAGGAACCTTGGAGGTCTTCTAGTCCAGCCCCCCCTGCTCAAGCAGGAGAACCTATACCATTTCAGACAAGTGACTGTCTAGTCTCTTCTTTAAAATCTCCAGTGATGGAGCGCCCATGATTTCTGAAGGCAAGCTGTTCCACTGGTTAATTGTCCTCACTGTTAGGAAGTTTCTCCTTAATTCCAGGTTGCTTCTCTCTTTGGTCAGTTTCCAACCATTAGTTCTTGTCCTGCCCTCTGGTGCTTTGGAGAATAATGTGGCCCTCTCTTCCTTGTGGCAGCCCCTCAGATACTGGAATACTGCTATCATGTCTCCCCTATTTCTTCTTTTCTTTAGACTAGCCAAACCCAAGTTCTGCAGCCATTCTTCATATATTTTAGTCTCCAGGCCTTTGATTATTTTAGTTGCTCTTCTCTGAACTTTTTCCAAGGTTTCAACCTCTTTTTTGTAGTATGGTGACCAAAACTGGTTGAAATATTCCAGGTATGGTCTTATTAAGGTTTTATAAAGTGGTACTAGTACTTTGTGTGATCTTGATTCTAGGCCTCTGTTTATACAACCCAGGATTGTATTAGCTTTTTTGGCTGCTGCTGCACACTGCTGGCTCATAATCAAGTGATCATCCACTAGGAGTCCAAGGACTCTCTCACAGTTACTGTTTTGGAAAAATATTTGTGAAATTTTCACTTTAAAAAACCTGGGCAAACTAAGACAGACTGAATGGTTAAGGATTCTGTTTGGGTTTTATTTTTTAAGTAAGGATTTATGAATAAATGAATTTGAAGAGAAGTTGGTGGCTTAATTTCTGCATTGCTCACTTTGAGTTATCACTTCTTTTTTAAAAGCTAATTTTTAACAACACAAGGTCCTTTTTATGCTTAGAATAGTAGCTTTATAAGAATCTATTGCATTCATAAAAGTTGGCTACACTCCCTGTAAAACCAGTTAAGGAAACACAACTGCTGTGTTTACATAGTTGATTGAATATATGCTATTGTCATTTATGACTCCTAGGG